AGGAATTCTTTTCTTTTCTTTATTTTCTTTAGGGCGATGCCTGTAGCACTCTGCCTATTACCTTCATACTAAATAATTTTTTGAATATTTTTAAAAATATTTCTTCACGTCATTATGCAGGCCGCAATTGGAGGTGACATGGGCCGCCAGATTGAGACACAGAACCTCTTAATGCGTATGGAAACAAAAAATAGAGAAGGCATAGCCTAACATATGAAACAGGAAAATACTGCCGTGTAATCCCTTTATTTCAACAAAGTAACTGTATTCTGAATACCACCTTTTTAAACTCCGACAGGAAAAACTCAAACAAGAAAGGCTAATTTCTGCTGGTTAATGCTTCGCGATTTAAGATTCTTTATTTGTTTATTTGGTTGATCAAGTCTCACAAGTGTCAGTACTAATAAATGATCAGAATTATAATATTTCTGACTGTCTTTCCCGATTCAAGTCAAATCGTGGATCGAATGAAATTGGGGGTCTTGTGAATAGCAATTGAATCACAATACCCAGCCTAGTCTGAGTGATGTGATCAGCTGACATCCACACCTGTTTCTTACCTGCAGATCAAGCTGGAGGACACACAGAGGTTGGAGAGAAGAAGGATGGAGTCAGAAGAGGACGTCCTGGACTGATAGCTGGTGTGATAGTTTTTGGTGTGATGGTTGCTTTGGTGATCTTTATAACACTAACAACCAGTCTGAAACAAAACTCTTTGCAGTGTTTTTACTGACTACAGACAAATCAGAGTTTCCTGTAGCATCATTCTGTACAGACATGTCTCAGTGTTCCTCTAAACTCTGCTGTAAACATGAATAAACTGGACAGAAACACACAGGTTTTACTCCTTTGTTACCAAGTGTTTTGTAAAAACAAAATCGCAATGTCTGCCTTTGTGAGTGTGTGGATGTGAACCTAGACCAAGAAATTATGTTCAACTGTTATCACCACAGTACACAAAGAGTAAGAAAAACTATCAAAATATCAACCTGACCTACAGACAGAGAGAATGAGAATTAATCCTTATTGTTTCCCTACATACACAGGATTAAAATCTTACTACTTTTAAAAACCACTTAAGCCCCACGAGTCCAGACATGTGTGGTATCTCTGAATCTCAGCTAAAATGTCATATAAACCATTTTTACAACCACCAAACACATCGAAAACAAGCCGTGATTAAATGAGCAGTTACGTAAAAGCGCAGAAGTCGGCTAAACAAACAAAACCAAACAAGAAATTCTTCAAACTTCATGTAACTGGCTAAAGATGGGCTGGTTATCTTCCAGAGCTATCACTGACTCCACACACCAAGTTTCACCACGATCAGACCAAAATTCACTGAATGAGCTGCAAAAGAAGACCACAAAAACACACAGCGGCGCTAATGCGCTAAGACAGAAATTGGCTTCCCGTCCCGATTTCCTCCGTTATTTTCGCCGGTAGCCGGTAGCCACGTGATTATCAGCAGTTACCATGCCTACCTAGCCGCATCAGAGGCGTTTCCGTCAACAACCTCCATTTTAGACCCGCCTACAGATACGTGACTGGATTGACGCCACATGCAGTAAATTTGGGCCCAAGTGGGTTTTGGCATTGCAACGTCTGATTGGTTGAAGTGACGTGAACGTGGCATCGTTACTATGAATCTATTGGCTCAAATGATGCCCCGACGAGGTGTCAATCATGCAAATTGACCAAAAGAAACCAAAGTTACAGCCCCTCAGAGTTTAAAGGGCCAGAGGCCAATTAAACGCTCCATGCGCACGGCAGAAAAGGGCCATTGCCATGTAAATGTGTGGTTAATTCTTCAAAAATATATTTAAAAAAGCATTTTTAGGCCTGTTAATAAAATGTATTAATTTTGGCTCTTTAATACCTAAAAAAATCAACTGGCATGATGTCCAATTGTGTGCCAAAATTGGACATTTTTGTACAACGTCTGGATATTCATGTATTGACAGCGCTGTAATTTTTCACTGTTTCACTTTAGAAACATAAATCTTTGCACAGATGATGTTTATATGTTGGTTACTGGATTTCTGGAACCAAATGTGATCTGAGGCATATTTTTAAAAGGGTTATATGCTAAAAATTAAAAAAAAAAGTCTCAGTAACTTTGACACAGTAATATCTGCTTCAATATTTACACCTCTGATGAAATCTCACAAGTGTTAGCTTTATTTCGATATCAAGATTGTAAGTACAGAGTTTGTAATTGCAGAGAAATAATCAATTAAATTTGGGCATTACATTTGCGAGCAGGAAGCTCAGAAACCCGCTTGGGGCTTAAGGTTTAAGTTTTGTTTCAGTTAAGAGGAAGCTCATGAATGTGGTTTCAACAGAGTGAGTGAAGTGTGTCAGAGTTTCAAGCTTTAAACCACAAACTGTGACACCAGCAAGATTACAGGAAGAGACCAGGCTGAGCTGTTTCATCTTTTCTTTAAAGACAAACACACTTTTTTAACCTTTAAAATAATAACGAAAACTTGTGCCCACACTAAAAAGACAAATCAGTCAGAGGTACAGGGCCTGTTGTAATCAGTGCTCTGTGGTGGTCCTTTATACTGATTTGACTTGCACTCATATTTTTAGCCATAGTAGCTGCAAACATGGTACTCACATGACTTAGGCTCCTTTGACAGCTGCAGGTGGTAATCCCCCCTTTGGACAAGAACAAAATAAACAGTTTAAACTTACAACATGATTAGAAGTAATTTCATGATATATGAGACAATCTGCATGCTGAAAGTAGTTTATAAATTCTCTCCTCTGACTTCAGCTGAACACTTTTCAGCGTATCAATCTGCTTGATAGTGGTCTCTTTATGTGATGTGAAGTGGTGTTGTATGCTGTTATCTGCCGCAATATAACAACACGTCTGACTTCTTGAAGTTTCTTGAAGATGTTTCACCTCGCTTCTTTTCAAGCTCCGTAGACTATAATGACCTAGATGGCTGAGAACTTTCAGACAAATATAACAACGCCAGAGCTGAGAACAGATGGAGTTACACTGCTATGCTCTCCACTTTAACCATTTTATCTCATCTAGCTCATGATCTTTGTTAAATTCACACCACAAATTTCTTCACAGAGAAAGACATTATAATATGAAGGAGATCTGAAAGTAACACCTCTGAGTTATGAATTTCCAGAATATTAACAGGTTCTGCTATAATATCCGGTATGCATGCCGAGTTGGTTTGCATTGAAGCTCTGATTATGGGAATTTTTATACCTTTCTGAGAAAATATCTTAATCTGCGGTTAAGTTCCACCTGCACCTGGTTGCAATGTGCTGGGCGAGTTACAAAAGTGTATGAGTTGAGCCCCAAGAGTACGCTGAAATTCAGAAATGTGTGTAATGATTTGTATGCGTGAGCGATGCGTTATCTGTGCTCTGCAGAAGTGATTATGAAAGCTTACTTGACGTTAAATCCTCTTGTTACTTGTCTGGTCCCTCCTCTGGACTAGAACCACGGTCCATATATAAAGTGAGAGATCAGTATTAAGAGTTACAAATGCATATATGATCCACGAGGGTAAACTGACATTTACAAATGTTACTGATACAAACTGAGTCCTGCATAGAAACATGAAATCAGTCAGCTTCTCTCAGCCTCATATTTCTGACATGGTAATAAAACATATTCTTTGGTTTCATCTTCTCCACAATGATCTCATTTCCCTGTTTCTTTATTGGAAACATGCCGGCAAACATGCCTATGTGGGCCCACAGTGGGTAGGTGTGGGTGAACTGTGGGGTTGTGTGGGCAGGGAAAATACACATTCATCCCACAATAAGGACAAGTGTGTGTTAACGCACATGGCCCACAGCAGTTTTTTCCTTAAGAGTTTTGAGTTTTCTGTGGGTGTCCAAAGATTTTAGTGCCACATAAAAACAAACAGCCGTACAATAACACAGACCTACAGTGTGTTTCAGATAAACAGCTTCTTTGATCACATCAGCAGATTTGTTTCTCGTGTCAGAGCACCGCTTTGTTTGTTCTAATGTGCGATCAGTAACATTAATCTGTAGTTGGATGATTATAGATGTGGACACTGCGTCTACAGCTGGGGGAATATGTTTGTGTCACCAACACTCGTGAGAGCTGACTAAATTCTTGCATTGTTTTTTCAGGGCTTTTTTGCACGAACAGCGGGAATCTCCCGAACATCTGTGAACACCTTGGCCATGTGAGCAAAACAGAAACAGACCTTAAAGTGAGGAGAGATGGTGGAGGTTTAGCTGTGATCAAGAAGTGATCACAGAACAGTCACCAAAGCTGTGATAATAGGCA